AATGCATACAAACTAAACAGACAAAGTGAAAAGGGAAGTACTAGTAGTTGGGGGGAGGGGGAGAGAAGAAATGGGATCAGAAAAGACCTCCCAGAGGAGATGGCATTTGAATTTAGATTTGAAGGAAATCAGGGATACAAAGAGGTAGAGGTGAGGAGAGGGTACATTTCAGGCATGGAGAACAGTGTGTTCACAAGAAGAGACCAGAAATGGGAATATGGCATGTGAAAAATAGCCAGAAGGCCAGTTTAGTGTATTTAGTGTGAGTGAGAGTAATATATAATATATAAGAGAGTAATATGTAAGCTTGGAAAGATAGGCTGGAGTCAGGTTGTGAAGGATATTAAATGCAAAACAGAAAAGTTCATAAATACTAGAGATAATACGGAATTATTAGCATTTATTGAGCAGGGGATTAACATGGTCATACCTGTGCTTTAGGAATATTATTTTGATAGCGATGAGGATCCCTCACCACCACCCTGTGAGGTAGATTAGCTCCAAACCACCAAGAGAAATGCAACTTAAAGCAACTCCAAAGCTACATCAGATTGGCAAAGATGAGGAAAATGACAATTTTATGGATTGTGCATTTGGTAGCAAACAGCTAGGTGGCACACTGAACAGAGGGCTGGGCCTGGAATCCAGAAGACATTGGTCTCGGGCACTTACTGGCCTGGAAAAGTCATTTAACTCATTTGCCTCAGTTTCCTCAACTATAAAATGGGGATGATACTAGTACCTTCCTCATGGGACTGTTATGAGGATGAAATGAGATGTCTGTAAAAAGGGCATAGCACAGTGCCTGGCACATAGCTGGCATTACATAAATGCTTATTCCATTCTATGAAAATACAAGGAGAAATTCCATTTAAAGGACATCTATAAATACAAATACAACAACCTATTCAGAAATAAATGAAGTCCTTGAGAAAGATAGTTAATGTTATGACCAAACAATTTCATTATAATAAAAATGTCAATAATACCTAATTTAATATGTGGATTTGGTGTTATATCAAATATATATATATATATACATATAGACATATATATGAATATATGTTTATAAAGCTAGAATAATAAGAAAATTCATAGAAAGAAACAAAACGTAAAAAATTCCAATAGAAAGAGAAAAAAAGAAAGAAAAAGAAGAGAAATAAAGAATCCCTAGCATCACCAGATCTCAAAATTATATGGGTCAGTCAGTCAATAAACATTTATTAAGTTCCTCTATGTGCCAGGAACCGTGCTAAGTACTAGGGATACAAAGAAAGGCATAAGATAGTCCCCGCCCCCAAGGAGCTCACAATCTAGTGAGGGAGACAACACATAAAAAAAGCTGAAAAGCAGGTGCAGGAGGTTACCTAAGGCATATGAGGGGATGGTTGTGGGGCCAGGCCATGATGAAGTCTTATAGCCCCAGTGGGAAATGACCTGAGGAGGTACAAGTTTCTTGGTTGATTTCATCTTGCAGAATGTGGGGTTTCTGGAGATGATGAAGTACAGGAGAACAGCCAGGTGGGATGGATGGAAATACAAACACACACACACACACACACACACACACACACACACGTATGTGTGTGTGTGTATATATATATCTATATCTATATCTATATCTATATATAGATATATATATATATATATAGACATATATATATATAGATATATACATATATATATATATCTATATATAGATATATATATATATAGATATATATCTATATATATATATATCTCTCCCAAATCCATCTAAAATGGCACTGCATATATGTTAAGTATAAAATATATATTATATATAAATATAAAATGTGTAAGTGAATGAAGGATGCCTAGTACTACTAAATTTCAAATTATATTGTTTGTCCTTCATTCTCAAAGAGGACCAATGACATCATGATATCTTGACTTTCTCATGAACTGTATTTAAGTGAGGTAGAGTTGCACAAAGTTGTCAGCTCATTCTCTCTTCCAGAGTTATCAAAGTCCAGTGGCAAGACAAAAGTCAGGATGACTGGTGATGGCCTGGAATGCTGTGGATGATTTTAGCTTCTTTGATGTCTAACTGAACTCCATAGTGCCTGCTTCAGTTGGCCAGGAAAGCCATTGGAACAAATTGTTCTCATCTACCCATTCTTCCAGGGGAAGACTTTAGGAGTTGTTTTAATTCGCATTTATTTATTTCTCTTATTGGTGAATTGAAGAATGGCAAACTCTACATGACTTCATAAAAACATGTCTCAAATCACTAGTAATAAGAGAAATGTATAACAAAAGAATTCCTAGAAATTACAACATCCATCAAATTGGCAAAAATGGCAAAAGGGAGAAACAATCAATGTTGGAAGTACTACAGGAAGACAGGCACCTTAATATACTAGTGATGACCTGTGAATTTGTCCAATCACTCTAAAAAACAATTTGAAATTATGTGATGACAGTGACTAAATCATTCATATTTTTTGATCCAGAAATCTCTCAATTGGATTTATACCCCATTAAAGTTGATGACAGGAAAAAAGGGTACATATATAGCAAAATATGCACACTGATACAATTCATAGTAAGAAAAAGCAGGAAATACAGTCTGTGCCCTCACCTACAGAATGACTGAATTATAGTACATAAATGTTATTGAATATTACTGCATTATAAGTAACAAAGAATATGAAGAACTGAAAGGATGGAAAGATTTTCTGAACTGATGAAAAGTGAAGAAAGCAGAACCAGGATGAGAATCTATATAATTGCTACAATAATGAAAATGAACAGAACATTAAAATCCAATAGAATTTAGACCAAATATAACAAGTAATGTTGGTTCCATACGGCTAACACAAAAACATACTTCCATTCTGTTAAGAAATGGTAAATTGTAAGAATGGAAAGTTACATACATTGTCATTTGGTTTAACTGTTGTTTAAGGGGAGGAATTATGAGAAGGGGAGAGGAAAAGCTTGTTTATTGAGTAGAGATTGTGCCAAAACAAATAAAAACAAATTTTCAAGCCTCAGCCTTACCTGTTGCCACTTGATCATCTCCACCTATCAAAATCCTACCCATTCTTCAGCCCTGGATCAAATACCAACCTCTTCTATGGCCTTTTCCCTCATCTCCTGGGCTGGAAAAGATCTCTACATTCTCTGAACTTGCAGAAAGCACTATGTACCCCTCTAAAGCTGCACTCCCCACACATTACCATATGTATATGTCTTAATCCTCCAAACAGATCGTAAGTTCAAGAGCAAGACCATGATTTACTCACCTCACCTATCACAATACCTTACATATAACAGCTTAATACTGCCTATATTTCAGTTTTATGAGAAAAAATACTTCATAAACTGTAAAGAACTATATAAATGTGAGCTATTACTTTAAAAAAGAAACAAGTAAAATTGTTAAAAGAATTAAAGGCTGAAGAAGATAACTAAATATTTTGGGGTAAAACAAACAAACATCTATCCTCTAGGCAGCATGTTTCACTGAGAAGTAAAAGTAAAGAGGTATGAGTAGTATCAAATCTCTTATTCAACTTAATTATTTCAACAAAAAATTGAAAATAGCATTTTTTACTAATTAGGTTCATGTCACTTATTTATAAAATACTTCAAGTTTTCCTTTTATAAATAAAACCCTTCTTTTCTTATTTAAGCTTCATTGTCATACCAAAAATTTTACATGAAAAAAAAACAGTTTTTATACACTAATGCCCAAATTGTAGTTTGGTTCATATAAAAGAATGTAATCCAAACCCACACCAAAAGGTCACATCAAGAAACACCAATCTCTAGCACCCTATTTGCAAGGTAATCACATCTTACCTGAGACAGTTACTTCTTTTTGGTGAGTTTTGAGATAAAAAATATCAAAAAAGTCTCTGTGTTAAATACAAACTAAACATAAAACTCAGAAGATCATACTCTTGAACTTTAAAATACAGTAAAACAACATCTGTATTGAATCCTTCCTAGTTGTTAAAAGTTTATTAAGAAAATAAGATTCAAGCTATCCTATTAAATGTCAGAACTTGGGTAATTTACCATGAGAAATCCTTCCATTCCAAAACAATTCTGAAACAATAACTGGGTTTCCATCACATAATCATCATATCAGGATCAAAGACAACAATACCTAGGTAAGAGGGTCCCAGATATAATAAAATATAGTGGACATACAATTAATTGTCTACTGAAGGAAAGAAAAACTATTAAGAAGCCTCAAAAAGAAAATTAACCTTAAAAAAAGAATAACTTCCAACAAAAGAAACAAGGGCAGGGATGAAGGCAAGATAGACTATATTTCCTGAAAGTTAGGTGAAATACTCACAACCAGAGCTGAAAATTTATTATTACACTTTTAAAAGTAAATTTAAAAAAACAGACCAGAAGTGTACAGAAGTGAGAGGGCAAAGTTGGCAATGTTGACCTTTGAGTCAGAGGCAAGGGTGTTAAATCTGCCTTACACAAATCACTTCTACTCCTTTGAACCTCAGTCTCCAATCTATAAAATGCATGTAAGTACTCTGAAAGACTTTAAAGAATTATAATTATATACCTAAGCTTTTTTTTAATTAAAAAAAATTTAGACTTTTGAATTTATTTAACTTCTAGAACAAAATACATACAACCTAAGTGTCCATTTCTCACTTCAAAAACTACAAATCTAACACCTGAAGCCACAACTTTTTTGTTTCACTCCTGTAGGGGGTGGGAGAAAAAAAATCCTCCCAACTTCATGTAAATTCAAAAAATGTTTCCAGTATTGAATGGTACAATCTCTGCAACACAGGTCAAAGAACCTGCCTAACAAAATGTGTTTTATATCCTTAAAGAAAGATCGATACATTTTATTATATTCCAATTATTTGAAAATCCACACACATGAATGGTATATAAGCTAACTATTCATCAAAGCATCTGATTAACAGTATTCTAGTCAAACAATATAGTTCAGAAAACTTTTCATACAAAAAAATAAAAGGAAAGAAGCTTACCAAAAATCTCTCCATTTTTGGCATATTCAGTGACAAGGTACAACATGCTTTTGGTCTCCATTACCTATTTAATAAAGAATTCCACATTAATTTAATAGGAAAGAATGAGGAATGACCACATCAAAGTCTATGTGACTCCTTAATTAAGACTACTTTTTAAAAAGTTATGAATGGAAAAGCTGACTATGATGAAGCACCCGATCATTTGATATGTTACAGTATTATGAAGAATCTGCATGCCAGAAGTCCTGAATGTCTATTTTGCAGCACATTCTCTTATTGACTTAATGAGAAAGGGCATATGCAACACTGAACAACTTATTGTCTCTGTTGTTTTTCCACTGACAAAAGCCATCACAGTGGATCCCAAGGGAGAAGTGGGAGAAAATGGTAAAATGGTTAGTCTGGCTAGGGAGGAAACAGTTTCATTTTTGTCTTGGTATCCTCGGCATCTAGAATAGCGCCCGACACAAAGCAGGCACTTGATAAATGCCCACCAATTGATCAGTGTGTTGTGATATTGCTTTTATATACCTACCCAGTATGTAATTCAAGGAGACCACCTTAAAGCTTCTTCTCTGTCGTCCTGCTGCTTGTGTTTCTATGATTATTTTACCTTCATTTCTTAGAAAAGTAATACTATAAAAATTTGGCTTCTGGAGCTCTGCCTATTTAGAAAGATGATTTGTATGTATTCATGATGTAAAACACATGCTGTTTACCACTATTCATTCTTTTATTATGCTTATTACTAAGACTACAACTTTGCTGCTATCTGCTGCTGAAAATGATTTTTCCTGTGAAATGTAAGTCACTTTGGCTCAGTCCTCCAAGAATCAGACTATAACAATGCAAGAGCTACCTACAAGTTGGGCCTAAACAAGTCAGACACTAACGAGACTGTAACTTCTCCAGTTCAACTAAGATAAAATTATATGTGTGACTCACTGGTAATGTCTGCCCTTACTTTGGCCTTTAGTTTCACCACAATCCTGAAAGTATTTGAATAGTTGCTTCTAATTATCATCTTTAAAAATAGCCAAAGAAAAGCAAGACTCTGCAGGAAGGTAATACAGGCAGTTCCAATTTATGAAAGAATTGTATTCTAAAAGCTCATTCATAAGTTGGCTGTTAGGTCCTTGGAACACATTTTCCCAAAGGAACAATGCTCTAAAGAGTTGTTGGGTCCCAAGCCATCCCACAAAAATTTATTTAATTCATAATGTACCTGGAGCAGAGTACTGTATCGTATAAACCCTTCACACTATGTATAGTAAAGTTTACAGGAGGAAATACATTTTGAATATCAACTTGGGATGCCAGGAACACACCTACAGTGCCCTATCCTGTAATCAAACCCCAACAAGAAGACTGCAACTCTCAAAACTCTAAGTTATCACATGGTTTCCATGATTTGAGGCAGCAGCAAGGACATGAGCAGAGGAAAGAATGAAAAGAATGGTGAGAGACAGTAAGCAAAGCTGAGGAGCTATGTAGGGAAACTGGTCTCCACTTGGCATAAAGTGCTCCAAGGGCACTTTTCATTTGGGATGGATTCCCTTTCACTTTCTTTTCTTTCTTTCCTTTTTTTTTTTTGAAGCCCAGGAGGTTGGACCAGCTGCTTCAGACCAATTTTCCTCCCCTCCCCAGCTCAAATAGAAAAATAATAGTTTTTTTTCTAGGTCTCTTTGCTCTGAAAGCAAGCACTAACCCTTTTAAAAATCCTAAGAGTTTTCACTGCCAGAAAATGCAAAAACACTAGGTAAAAGGACCCCTCTCCTTTTACCTTTCTTTTTCTCCTCCACCTATTTCCTACAGATAAAAAGAATCAAATAATTTCAGAGTTGGAAGGGACCTCATAAAGTAATCTAATCCAATGCATATCTGAAAAAGAATCTTGATTACATCATACCCAACAAGGGATTATCCAGTTTCACAAAGACTTCTAACAAGGAAGAAAACTCACCACTTCCTGAGGTAGTCCATTCCATTTCTGAATGGAAATTTTTCTGGACATCAAGTATAAATTTTCCCCTTTGCAATTTCTACCCACTGCTGCTAACTCTGACCCCTAGAGTCAAACATAGCAAGTTTATTCCCTCTTCACATGATATCCCTTCAAATGCTTGAAGATATCTTTGTCTTCAAGTGGTATCATGATATTTCATGTCCTCCCTTGGTCTTCCCTTCTCCAAGGCCCTACAACCCTACACATTTCCTTCAACTGATCCTGTGTTGTGGCCCTTTACCATTCTAGTTGCCATTCTTTGGACATTCTCCAGCTTATCAATAATAGATGATCAAGAAAGGTAGAAATAAGCAACAAGAGTAGATCTTTCAGGACTTAACCTGAATTAGTGAATTTCTTAGAATTGAAGGAGGGAAGCTTCTGTCACTGCTTGAACGTAGCAGAAGTTCCCTGGTAGCCACAAGCTTGAGCCTTCTTTTCTTTTACTTTGGACTTACCTATATTGGATATTGTCCATCATCACAGCTTTCATTTAAGAGCTTGGAATCCTGGTTCTACCACTTACTAGTAAACTGTGAGACCTCTGGCAAGCCATGTTATAATCTCTAAGCCTCAGGTTTCTCATCTATAAGAGAGCGGGGTTGAACTACATGATCTTTCAGGTCTTCTCCAGCTCTGACATTATGTGATTTTTATAACGCATTTTTGTAGATGGAGAATATATAATAGTTTGAGGAGTACACCTTCTTTTATACTAAAGCATATATAATATTAACACATTGTTATACATAGGTGAAAAACAATTTTCAAACACAAAAAAGGCCAAATATCAATGGCTAAAAACTTGAAAGTGTTATATATTATAACATCATCTTTTGACACTAAAGGGTGCATTTTCTTAAGAAAAAGCAGATATTTTCCTTTTAAAAACACATCTTAGTAAGCACATCTGATAACATCATTTAAAATAAATGCAAGCCTTAGCCATTTCCAGACTTTACACCAAAATAAATAATGAACTCATATGTCATAAACTATATAAACTTTAGAATTTTATCAAAGTATTATAATGCTGACAAAATAAATGTCCATACCATGGACACCTTACCTAAATGTTTTGTGAGGCTACCACACTCATAACTGGTTAGACATGTTCACCAAAAATATCAAGTCCAATTTATAAAAATACCCTCAGGTCCAATCTGGATGTAGAAGAATATCAGTGGTTTTCACTCTCTCAACATTTTCCATTTAGAGATAATTCTAATAATGTGCAATATCACACCTAGTCAACTGAATAGCAAAGTTTTTTCTTTTACAGTTCAGAAAACTAACAGATTAATTTTGTAATAAAATGTAGAGCTGAAACTGGAAAGTTTAAATCATACCTGGTAGAGTTTTATTATATGAGGGTGGTCTAACATTTTCATTATTTGGACTTCTCTGTAGATTTTCTCTAGATTCACTGCATCCAGCTGAGATTTATCTATGATTTTTATTGCCACCTGCATCACAAAATAAAAAACAAGAGTTAGTTTGCAGAGGTTAACCTTCTTTTTTGGTTAGGCGATTGGGGTTAAGTGACTTGCCCAGAGTCACACAGCTAGTAAGTTTCATGTGTCTGAGGCCACATTTGAACTCAGGTCCTCCTGACTTCAGGGCTGGTGCTCTATCCACTGAACCACCTACCTGCCCCCAGAGGTTAACCTTTACACAATTACAAATGGGATATCTGAAATTTCAGTAAGAGTATCATGAGTTTTCTTAGCTTATTTTAGTTTTGACATTTATTGATGAATTGATTCATTCAACAAATACAGCATACCTAGTTTTGGTTTGGAAATGTCATCATCATGCTGTGAATACTGTGCTGGGTTAATTCCAAAACAGTTTTTCTTCTAATACCACTAAGTTCACAAAACTTAACACTTATTTACTACATTTACAAACATCACACGAATTAATTTCTCGGTGTTTTACACCAAAATCATTAACAAACAGCCACTATAAATAAGGTAAGGGTCAATTTATGACCAAGGTGAATCCAGCATGCAATTTTAAAGGGGCAAAAAAAAAATCAAAATTTTTTTTAAAAAAGCACAAAAGGGGCTATGCTAAGCCCTCACAGACTTCTGTCTTGGAAAAACCTTCCCCATTCACCCACCACACCCTTTGGGATTGTTGTAGTGGAAATTTTTTTCTAAAAACAACTCTAAGAACTTATGCTACTTGAGGATAATTTCTTAATGAAATGGAGATACATTTCTGAAAAGTGAGTAAAAATATAAGGAAATGCCATGAAAACAGAAAAAATAATGTGTCTAAGTCAAGTTATAAGTTTTAAGAAAATAGAAACAGTAATAATACAAATAAATAACTTAGATATATTAGGGATTTTTCCTCTCCTAATATACAAGAAACCCTCAATTCATACATGTATTGTGTTCCCAGCGTTTATTTTTAAGTGGGTTGTCTGAAACTTAGAACTTCAGGAACTGATTCACATGAAGATAGAACCTATAAAATGATTAAGTGCGTAATAGTTTGAACAACTTGTTTTAGGACTACTTGAATCTATCCTATGTAAAGAAGAGAATAAAATAGTTCTTTCAGTTTTGCAAAATGCTTTATCTACATAATCTCACTTGATTTTCATAACAACCCTGTGAGATAGAGGTTCTTATTATCTTCACTTTACATAAGAGGAAACATAGTCTTTAGAGGGGTTAAGAGACTTTCCCAGGAATTTAGTTAGGAAATGTTAGAGACTGGATTCAAATTCAAATCTTCTTATCTATCTAGTTGTCTATCCACTTTTGGTCAGCTTTAATCATTTGGAAGCTTTTCTTTATGTTAAACCTAAATTCTCTTCTTTAGCACTTTCTGGCCATTTCTAGCCCATTTGGTTTCCAATGGGGCCATCATACCCATCTCCTCTCCACCAGAAAATTGGACTGTGACCCTGGAATGGCTCTGGAACTTAACAGACCAGCTTTGGCTTTCGCATGCTTACAGCATAGCACTCCTTGCCCCACTAAACACTTCCAGATCATCTACACACCCTATCTTCACATATACATCCCTGCCTCTGGCTCCCTTTCATGAGTCTCCCCCCACTAGAATGCAATCTCCTTGAACAAAAGAATTGTTTACCTAGCTGGTTTTTGTATCCCAACCACTTAGGACAGTGCCCAGTAAGTAGCAAGGCCTTAATAAATGCTTTAGCCATCTACCTTATCCTCACAAGCTCCTAGTTTTGCCCTCTGAGGTCAAACAGAACAAATATACTCCCTAAGTCTTCTCTTCTCTATGAGAAACATTCATGTTCCTCTGGTCAGTCCTCAGAATGGCCTCACGATTTCTTACCATCTTACTGTCCTTTCTTTGGATGCTCTCCGCTTGTCAACAAACTTCCAGACTTCAAAACCAAGCTTTTCCTGCAGTCTCATCCGGGAACTTCCCTCAGTAGCTGTGATATCTCTCCCTCTGAAACATCCAACTACCTTTGTGCTCTTCCCACTCTGGAATATCCCTTTACCAGGCCCACAGCCTTCTCACACTGCTGAATTCCTCCTGCTGCCAGCATTTTGGTAATTTTGGTGGCCTGGGGCCACCCTGCCTTTATTCCCTTCCAGCCCTACTCCTGATTTTCCAGACTTCTAAACCACTCCTTCCAGGCTACTCAACAACCCCACTCTCTCGCTTTTCCATTCCCTTTTGTACTTTGTCTCCCTTCAATGGAACAGAAGCTCAGTAAGGGCAGGAGCTGTTTTTCTTTTTGCTTGTATTTATATCACTAGATAGTCACATACATAGGAGGCACTTAATAAATGCCTGTTTCCTTTCCATTTTTCTTCTCAAAACATGGTAACTAGAGCTTAACACAATACTCTAGATCAGGGTCAACAAACTATGGCTTGTGGTCCAAATCCTATCTTTGTTTTCTGGAGCTATATTTTGGAAACTTTTTATTTTCTTTTTTAAGTTGTATTGATTTTTTTTGGTGTGTTTTGCACCACAGTAATTTTCCAATATTCCTCCTCACTCTACACACAGCCCTCTCTTGTAACAAAGAAAAACAGTTAAGGAAAAAACACCCAACATAGTGTCTGACACAGTCGCCACCAACCCCACTACAAAGAGGAGGATGGTGTATCTGTCCTCTTGAGCTAGTACTGCTCAACACATTTCATTTTAGTTCAGCTGCCTTCTAATGACATTTTCATTTACATTATTGTAGTCACTCTATATATTGTTCTCCTGCTTCTAATTCCTTCTCTTTGATGAGTTCATAAGTCTTCTCAGTTTTCTGAACCCTTCATTAATCATATCTTACAATATAATAATGTTCTATTAAATCCACATAAAGCAATTTCTTTTGACATTCTCCAATTGATAGGCACTCCCTTTGTTTCCAGGGTTTGAGGGGTAGGCTGCTTCCTACAAACTACTATGGATATGGGACATTTCTTCCTATATTTGTATCCTCAGACAAGTCACTTTACCTTTCTGGATGTCAGTTTCCTCCTCTGTAAAATGAGGGGATTGGACCAGATAACCCCTGAAATCCCTTGAGTCCTTTAAGATAAAGTGACTTGTCTGAGGATACACAGTTAGCAAATGGCAACACCAGGATTTCAATCAGTTCCTCTGCCTGTAGATTCCATTCTTTCCTTTATATCATGCTACCTTCTTGTTTTTTTGCATTTCCAGCATTTAGCATAGTACCTAGCACGTACACGGTAAGAGCTTAATACTTGTTGAATTGAATTACTTACAATGTAAAAGATCATCCATTACAGACTGGTAGAAACATTTCAGAGGTCTTTAGTATGCACTAACTGGTAGGTCTATGTACAGACAGTTCGAAGAAACAATGAACATAAGGAATTCAGAGACATCTGAGAATTTAGATCATTATCCATTTATCACTTTTGTTTTATTATGGTCTGTAAAATAAATGCCTATTATTTGTAACTTTCTACATTTGACTTCTTTATATACTCGCACATAAGGATGCCACATGATACTGAAAATATACATTAAAAAAAACTACCTCCAGAAACTGCCAAAGCTCTTCCATTACTAATAGTTTGACCATCTTGTTCCCCTTCATTTTTCCCTTCTTGGTTAAGTTAGATTTATCTCTTTACCTCCTGATAGAAAAATAGTAAAAGTGTCTTACAATTACCATGCTACTACCCTTGTCTTAGAAGGTAGATGCTAAGGCAAGAGTAAGTAGATAAAACAAATAGGAGGTTAGTGAAAGAAGAGAAAGTTAGGTGAAGCCATCAAGTTGTCCTGGTGACAAAAGTCTAGAAAGGTCTGAACTAAGTGAGTAGAAGGAGAGTTGGAAAAACCCACTAAAAGTGTGAAAAGTGGGGCTCACAATCTCAATTCGTACAGAAAGCAGAAAGGAATTTGGAGTGACTCATAACAACTGTGTGATGTTCATATGTCTCCTGCAGACAAGTAACTGCTCCCTATGTTCAAAGTGTAGGCTGGTCTTCCTCCTAGCAAAAGGTGAAGAGGCTCAAGGAATACCTTACTATCCTGCAGGTTATCATGATTAATGGATTGTTCTTTAAAAAAATACAAACCTAGCAAGCAGAAGTAGAATTTCAATGAAACAAATTGTTGAGAAAAAGGAGGCTGGAGAATAGAAGAATGACATACACAGAGGAAGAAAGGAAAAAAAAAGAGAGACATTGTACAACTATGATTTTTTAAAAAAAAATAAAATCTGAAACTCTTCTTGAAGAGCCATCAGAGTGCTGTGAAGAAGAAGCAGCTGCTTATCTTTAAGGAACAAAAATGGATCCACAGGGGCTCTGCAGTAAGAGATCATCCAGTGAAACAGGAAGAAAGAAGAGAAGAACTGTGGTGGTGACTCTCTGCTCATGAGGTGCTATGGCAGCTATCTTCAACCTAAAAACAACAATAGAGAGGTCTACTGTCTTCCTAGGCCATGAATGAGACATAACAGAAAACCTCTCAAGATGTGCCAAAACATAGGATAACTATCTGTGTCTGATGACTCACAGTTGCACAGATTATATTGCCAGAAGGAACCCAGACTGCATTGTCAAAGATCATTTTGTCTTGGACAATAAAATGAAGACTAAACGTGGATACAAGTGCCATTTGCCTGACTACTATCCTCTGAAGGCAAGAGATACAAAGAAAAAAAAATTTAGAAAGTGATCTTAAGGTTAAATTTTTAAATAATTTGGAGTTCTATAATATAGATATATAACTTAAAATATAACTTAAGGTGTGTGTGTGTGTAACACACACACACACACACATATATATACATAAAACTTAAAAAGTAAGGATCACAGGCTCCTGGCCAAGGACAACATGTAACTAACAAAGGCAGGAAAGGGGGGGGAAGAAAATTAATTTTTTAATTAAAAAATTAATTTAATTGAAAAACGTATTTGCCTTATGTCTTAAAAATCTAATCAAAAGAGCTTTAACCTAAAAGGGATGCAGGAAGAAG